TGAAAAAGTGGTTCCTTGGGAAAGGCATGCCCAAGTATGTACCATGGAAACAGCCTGGGGCTTTAGAACTGGGCAGAACTGGGTTCACGTCACCTTCATCTATGAAGTTCATTATTCATCCTCTTTGATTTTGAGTTTCCTTATTTGTAAAATGGGGATAAAACCATTTAAAACTATTTACTTAATATAATTACAGTAAAGAATAAAAAAAGATAATTCTCTAAAAGTCTTAGCAAGATACCTGATACATAGAAATTGCTTAATAAATATCTGCTCATTTTCTCTTAATGAGAAGTAAGGAAGATATGGGGGGTGGGGTGGGGAAAAGGAGTGTTTTTAATCAATATGTCTACTTGAAGGTAGAATTAGAGCTACTGGCTTTTCTGTAACTCATGTACATGGGCTGTAACAGTGCCCAGAGAGAGATGGAATGCCCCAAAGTATGGCCCCAAGGGAAATGTGATTGGTGATTAGGAATGCAAACTTTAGACAGATTGATCTGTGTCTAATACTGGCTTGCCATTTTCTGTGCACCTTTGGGTAAGTTAGTTAACCTCTCTGGCCCTGTCTCCCTGTCCAGTATAAACAGTGGTACCTATAGTGTGTGCAATAGGCCCCCCGATTTGCTTGGCCACTCCATTTCCTTCATTCTCTGAGACTTATCCCTTTCCTCAGGGAAGGGCTTTTGCAGCCATGCTTGTTCCTTATGAGCAAGTTTTCTTGCTTGCCACAGACCAAGGGACCAGAGGGGGGTCACATTATTTAGGAAGACCCAACCCAATGGCTGGACTGACACAATCAGCTTCGCTCTCCTGGGGTAAGACTAAATGACATAATGAATATGTACACAGCACCCAGGATATAATGAGAGTTCTGTCGTTTTTAAATCCAAAGTAAAGACCATTTCCTGGCATCTACTCTTTCACATTATTTAGGAAGACCTAACCCAATGGCTGGGCTGACACAATCAGCTTCGCTCTCCTGGGGTAAGACTAAATGACATAATGAATATGTACACAGCACCCAGGGTATAATGAGAGTTCTGTCGTTTTTAAATCCAAAGTAAAGACCATTTCCTGGCATCTACTCTTTAACTTACAATTTCTGTTCACAGTAACTGTAATTTGGATAGTTGGTACAAGCCTAACAGGCAGTGCAGAGGAGAATTTTCCCCAGGTTTTGGAGTGACAGCTCAAACCAAGAGAAGGATGACATTCCTATCATTATATCCCTTTCATGCCAGGGACATTTCTGAATGAAGCATGTATTAAACAGTTTTATCTGGAAAGGCCTAACAATTCTCATGCTAGAAATTTTAATGTCATGGTCCAAGTCTAGGTAGATTCAGACCTAGGACTGCTTATTTTTAACAAGTCCAACTGGGAAACAGCAGAAGTGAAATACCATTTTTAACCACACCTCTTTCTCATGTGCACTCTCTGAGTCTACTGCGCTAGCCTCAGGAAGGGCTGTTTATTTATCCTGTCCTTAACATTAAATGCAGCAAAACTGTTTGGCAAGGATTACATCTCATTTTTCTCATTAAACTAGAACAGGCACCATGGTAGGGAAAAGGTAGGGGGTTTCAGCTCCTGTGATCTTGGCGTCTTCAAGAAGAAAAAGGCTCCCCTTAATAAACAACAAACACACAAGGAAATCCTTTCCTATTTTGGTGTTAATCTCAATTATCAACTAATATGTTGAAGAAGAATTTTTATGCATATTTTCATCTTTCACAGTGTTCATTTTCTTTTCTCTTTCAGCTTCTTATGTCATAGAAATATTATTTCCTTTTCTCTCTTTTTCTTTACAAACCTGAAGGTCATTTTGATTGGCTTTTCTTTTATAGTTTTCATCCTAATTGAATTTTGTCGGCTGAATGTACAGATTTTTTTTTTCATGGCAGAAAATTCTCTTTCTCTCTCTTTGTCTGTCCCTTTCATAAAACCAAAAATTTCCTGGTTTAGAATCAGCCAACAGGTGATTAAATCATCTCAAAGATCCAGTAAAGTTTCTACACATGCTGAAAGATTCTGAAATATTTTGGTGATATCAATAAGGACATAGGAAAAACATTCTTCCAGTGCTATGTGCCATGCAGAAGGATCACTTAGTCACAGCATGGCACCCTATACAAATGCTTTCCCTTAAATATGTATATGTGTGTGTGTGTGTGTGTGTGTGTGTGTGTGTGTGTGTGTGTGTGTGTGTAACGCTTTCCCTTAAATATGTATGTGTGTGTGTGTGTGTGTGTGTGTATAAATATACAAAGTATAATCCAGTTTTCTTCTCAAAATGAGCAACCAATTCAACTGCACAGCTGGGTACTCCAGAAAACACATAATTAGATACATTGGATTTAAGAGTTAGGTAAGGCCTCCACTGAGCCAGTGAGTAAGAAGCTGAATGAAACGTTATGATTGCTGCTCTGGTTCCTGGAAAGAACAGAATATGTGGATATGTGTGTTTTGGGCAAATAAAAGGCACTTCCTGGGAGGTATGAAGTGTAGTTGGCATTCCATGAGAGACTATAGAATATTTTACAATGGGCAGTGCCAGGGAACAAAATATCGTCCATGACTAAAAGGGGAGTCTGTTAGAGGAGATGTGCCTAAAAGGAAGAGATTTGGTAAATACAATTTTGGAGTTATATTTTGGAAAAAAATAGAGGCCAGTAGAAAATAATACAATATGTAATTTTTTAATAGGCTCTGAAAAGTCTTAGGGAATTTTAAGTACAAAAGGATACATTATGTAATACTATTTCCTTCCTAAGAGTGGAAGTTTCCAGCTAAAGCAGGTATATTCTGGAGAAGATAACAAGTAAAGTCTACCATTTTGGAACTTTTTACTAAGAATACTCAAACCAAGGACTAAATATTAAAGATAAGTCCCCTCATAGGATTAAGAAACTAAAACTAAATTACCACTTTTTCTTAGTTGCAAATAATCTTATTTGTGAATTTGTCTCAAGGCAACTAAATGAAAAGCAGATATTATTCTCTCTCGATGATCTCCCTCAAATAAATGCGACAAAAAAGCAATTGTCTGAGAGAGTCCTATTTTCTCAAAGAAAACATCCTGGAATAATTGACAAAAGTACCTATTAGTCCCCATGACACCAATGCTTACACATTTGGGGCTTGTCTCTCAGTGTGCAATTTAAATACATATCCATAAAATCCTTGCCAATAATACTAATAACTTTATGTCTGTTGATACTGTGTAACCATTAAAATCTCTATTAGTGATCTCATGTTTGGATTGATACACTTTACAAGAAATGTTTTGAACACTCTAATTTGTGAAGCAAATGCTGGAAAGAGTAGAAACACAAAGCTGAATGGAGTCCCTTCCCTCGAATTTATAATCCAGTGAGAGAGACAGAAATATAATAGGGTTATATATACTTTACAAGAAATGTTTTGAACACTCTAATTTGTGAAGCAAATGCTGGAAAGAGTAGAAACACAAAGCTGAACGGAGTCCCTTCCCTCGAATTTATAATCCAGTGAGAGAGACAGAAATATAATAGGGTTATATAACATGGTGTGTTGTTGGCAACTTTGTTATGTACTTGGTGGTTGTGCATCAGGATTTTTCTTTAATGGTAAAGAAAATTATTTTGAAGAAATACATTTTGATTATGTTGCTATTTGAAGTGTATTTTGCTTGTGTTATTTAAAAAGAAGTTCTTTTATGTCACAGGTATGTCTGTGTGACCATTATGATGCTTACTATTATATTCCATATATAAAATATTATATACAATATTTTTCAACTGATGGTCAAATAACTCTGCATCATTATGGGCACTGTAATTGGCAAAACGTCCTGATTCTAAATCAAATGGAGACCTTTAATGGTGAAATTTTTAAAAACTATGTAATCTGACGAGGACATATAGCTACCAAGTAGATTGTCATGTTTGACAAATCTTTAAATTCTTCTCAACAGCTGTCTACTGAGTTATCAAATTGCAAATGTCATATTTGGAGAAGACACCCTACCATTTATTTATATGTGGGAAAGCCTTCTGAAGTATGTTTGCTAGAGCTGTAGTGACTGAAACAATCCAAGAGGGACAAAGGTTGGTGGGAGAACAGCACATGTGATTGTAGTGTGGCTACCTTCTGCTTCTTAGTCTAAAAAACTCTTTTAGAGAGGAAGAAGTTTGTCTCACACATGCTAAAAATTTTCAAAAACACCAAAGAGGGCAGGTGGATTTAGTATAACTTTCCCTAGATTAAATGAAACCACTTTAATTCTGAGCTGGTATCTCAATACACTGCTGACACAGAGAAGGATATTTGCTGCTGTTCAGTGAACATTCAATGAATTAAAGTACTTTATGCACTTTTCTAAGCCAACAACCATCAATCCTTTCTTCCTTCCAATGACAAAGTACAGAGAACTGTCTTAAGTAAAATATATTTGTTTGGTCTGGTCATTAATAATTTGGTGACATTACGTCTTAACTCAGGATTCATTAAAACAAATGAGAGTTTTATTTTTTATTTATTTATTTATTTTTAAAAAGATAACTGGTAAGGAGATCTTAACCCTTGGCTTGGTGTTGTCAGTACCACGCTCAGCCAGTGAGTGAACTGGCCATCCCTATATAGGATCCGAACCCACGGCCTTGGTGTTATCAGCACCGCACTCTCCCGACAGAGCCACGGGCCGGCCCAAAACAAATGAGAGTTTTAAAAAACAATCATTTGGAGTAACACCACTTATGATTAAAAATCATGGTTCATTCTTTGGTGTGCTCCCTGCTTTAGTTTCTATCAAGATGCGTAATGTTAGAAATAAGAGAATACTTTCCATTTTATTAGGACCAAAGAGTTGTTAGTTTGATCTGATAATACTTTCCTCTAAACCTGAGTATTTATAGACAGAATTTCTGATTTGTAAAAAAACCAAAGTTTACGTTGATCTTATCAGAGGGACTAGGAATAAGAACAAAAACACATGCAAGTAAGAAGGTGGAGACTTACTGTATCACGTTGCCTGTTATCTTTTCCTGATATTATCAAGAAGTAGTTCCATGTCAATAGTAACAACAAAACCAGCGGTATCATGTAGAGCTCAAAGTTCCAGACAACAAAGAGAAAGAGCTGGAGGAGAGAGGAGAGGAAAAGAGATGAGCCAACTTTGCATTTCATTAAATGGACTCCCTTATTCATATTGCACTTCAAAAAACACAAAACTCAGTGCTTCAGAATGAGAAGATTTATCTTGAAAACAAAGCCTTGAGAGCGTGTTAGGCATTTTTCTAAAAACACAGCTGACCCCTGGAAAGTCACTGTAAGGGTTTTTACTTTGTTTAATTTCTATGAAAGAAAAACTAATATCATTACGTTGTCAAAGAGGCAATTTTAATTTTTCTCCTCCTGTGAAATTATTGTTAGGTTTGACAAAATAAAGCTTTAAAAAAAAAGGCAGCAAAATGAGCTCACTACATTGTCAAAAATTGCCTCTTCTATCTGTCTTAATGATAAAGAATGAATCATTATTTAATATTAGAGACTTAAAAAAAATCTCACTTGGATAATACAATGTTAACAAGCATAAATACCAAGTTCACCCTAGACAGCCCCCAAGATTTCTCAATATGAAAAAAACAGTGTTACCAACAAGCGTTAAAAAAAAAAAGGTAGGCTTCACATTCAGCATTATCATAGAAATCAAACAGCTATTAAAATAAAATTCCGCCAAAGAAAATTTTTAAATGCCTATATGTATTATTTTTTAACACTACCTACTTCTCTAAGTATAATAAACTATTTTTTTATTGTAAGGAAAATGTTAGATTAAGAACTCAGAGTGGCAGATAAATCCATTCTGAGAACATTCACATTGTAAAACAACATAACGCTGGATATAAAGGGTGACTCACCCCCACCACCACCAAACTCTTGTAATCCTGGACAGATTGTCTAAATTCTTTGGGTCTGTGGCTCCTGCTGTCAAATTAAGGTAATGTAAAGTCAGGTGGTGTTTAAGAGGTGGACTCCAGGGCCGGCCCAGTAGCGCACTGCTACAGTGCGCCGCTTGGGAGTGTGGTGGCGCTCCCGCCGAGGGTTCGGATCCCATATACAGACTGGTTCCCGCTCACTGGCTGAGCGAGGTGCGGGCGCAGCACCGAGGGTTGCGATCCCGTTGCCGGTCCCGGTCCGGTACGGGCGCGACACTGAGGGTTGCGATCCGTTGCCGGACACGAAAAAAGACAAAAAGGAAAAAAAAAAA